TTTTTAGATTAGTTAGTTGCCTTAATTCTCTCAAATTAGTTTAAATGATATTAATTTTTGATTTAATTCCTTGAAAGGCTCTACCAATTTGGCATGAACGTACATGTCATTTTGTTTTCCAAAATTTCACAATCTTTTTGAGATTTGCAGATTTTACTTTCATTTTTTATTAGTAGTTGAATAAATTTTGGCGTTGAAAACAATTTGATTTGATTTGATGGAGAACAATGTGTCGATATTAATAAAACATGGTGGAAAGTGAAATTCATCATATTGATTTTTGTTATGATTTGTTGTTTTAATTATGAATTGTTGGTTTTAATTATATTTATTGTTTTGTACATGTATAAAAGTGTTCAATTTTTTTTTATTATTGTTAGATCTAAAATATAGTTTGTATGTTCTTTTTTTTTTGATAAACAATCAAGTTACGTATGTCATTTTGAAAAACGATAAGTAAATATAAATGTGTTTGAGTTGTAATTAAATTGAAGATTCGCGTGTTAGTTGATTTCTGAAGAAAATAGAAAAACGTACATTTATTAACTAGACAAATAATAATTAGATATAATTCTTTGTACAGGTGAAATATTACAAATGTATGAATAATGTCTGAAAATTATATAAAATTTGTATTTAATGGTAAAACATGCTCAGATAATATTCAAAAAGTAAAAAGATATAATTCTGTGTACTGGTGAAGTATGAAAATTGTATTAATTGTGTATGAAATTTATAAGAAAATTGTATTAATTGTGTATGAAAATCTATATTTTGTTAAACTTACAATATATGTTTCTGTTGAAATTATAATATATATTTTGTATTAATTTTGTATAGAAACTATATTCTTTTTGTTTAATTGAAATAGTGTATATGTCAGTGAATGATATATTAAATGTGTATGAAGTTTGTATGAATTATTTTGATAGGTACAGATACAAAATCAGAGATTGGTCCACATTTTAGACCGGTTACAGCAACAAATTGTTTCAACCCAAGATGTAATTTTGTACCATTTACATTCATAACAAACATGTTATCCCTGTCATTTTTAGTTTCAAGAATAAATATATGTCGTAACATCTGACATTGGATTTTTATGTCATGCAAATCATAAAAAAATTCACAACGGTGTTTCTTGTAAGAATTGTTGAAACTTGTCTTGACCTAGGAAGGTCAACAGATCCGCAAACACATTCATGTTAATACATGAAGACAAATGTATTTGTATCTTCTTCTCCTATAAAATTGGTAAATTAAATTAATACATTTATCAAACTATATAATGTCATATAAAATCATATATATACTGGTATGTTAAATGGACATTCAATTCAATTCATACACAAAGCATACAAAAATTGTACATCAGTTCATACACAATGCATACAATATTAATACACATTTAATTTTTAAAAAAATAACAATTTATGACTTTTAAACTATAAACTACTACTCAAACAGTACCACTACATTAATTCATACATCAAAATCAGAACATAAAAAACATACAGCTTTAATACTTTTAATAATAGTAAAAAATATGCGACATACAATACTAATACATTATTCGTATACTGATATTGTAATAGACAATATAGCATTTCATACACATAGCATACAAAGTTAATACATTAATGCATACATTCCTATAGTGAAATATAGTAATTATTTTATACACAAAATCATACAACATTAATACATTATTATTTATCAAAAATCATACTTTGTTGTAATCCAATTATATATTCACAAATCATACAATATTCGTATATAATTATAATATACAATACTAAAAACTCAACTCATATATAAATCATACAAATTCATACAGTGAATCATACATAAAAAATACATTATTTATTTACACAAAAATTTCATACAGTGAATCATACACAATTCATACATTATTTATTTACACAAAATTTATATTTTAATTATTTTATATCCAAATAACAGAAAATAAAAATAACAGAACATAAAAAAGTTTTAAAAAATTAACTTTTACTAACCTTTGAACTTTTATTGGGTTTAACTGTTTCTTCTTCTTCTTGTAAATGTGAAGTACCGATTTCAGATGCTCTTGATTTTTTGGATTTTGATTTTATCAACTCTTCCACAAAATCAGATTCAGAATCTGATGATTTCTCGATTTCTTTTCCTTTCCTTTTCTTTCCTCTTTCTTTTGTCCTTTTCTCAGATTCATCTACTTTTTTCTTTTCTTTCCCTTTTCTCTTCTTCTCGTTTTCCTTCGGATGTTTGTTTGTTTTTTTTATATTGTTGATTTCTCTGATCTATATTTAACTTTAACAGATGAAGATTGAGATTGTGTTTGTGATAAAATTTTGAAAGATGGAGCATGAAAATCGTCTGAGCTTGCTTCTTCATTCAATCTTCTACTTTTTCTCGGGGTTTCGTTGCCTATTTTCGACACTGTACGGTTTGTTTATCGCAAGAGTTGAAGATTTGAGTGCTAAAAATGAAGATTTGAATGCAAATATTTGAGAATTCTTGAAGAAGACTGTTAAGAGAGAAGTTATTTTGAGAGAAAATTTGGTGAAAGTAACAATTTAGGCGTGCGAATTTGGTGAAATTACATATAATATTTAATTTAAATTAACTACATAGAATTTATAGTTATCTTAAAAAAGGTAACTATATAATATTTAATTTAAATTACATTAATTAAGAGTTTTGTTTAAAAAAGGTAACTTAAAATAATAAATTTAATTAACTACATTGGTTTAAATATGGTAATTGAATTATTTAAATAAGTTAATTATTATTTTAAAAAATTAATGAGAATAATATATTATTTCTTGATAGAGTACTCTTCTTGATATGCTATAACTTGATAATAATATGCTATAAGTAGTTTATTATTAAAAAGTTTGTTTATAACTTGATATTTAACATCTTAAATGTGTGAGTAGTGTTATTTTTATGTTCAGTGTAAATTAGGTATATAGCATTTTTTATAGTAATATTCTCAAGTTATAGCACTAGAGTTTGAATTTCATTGTATAACATTTAATATCTCAAGTTATAGCATTTTAAAAAAATATATAATGTTAATTTTAAATTATTAAAAAGAGTTGTTAAAATAAAAAATAAATTAAAAAAACCAGACAAATTAATAATGAAAAATGAGATCTTTTATTAAATAAATTAAAAAATGATATTTAACATCTTAAATGTGTGTGTAGTGTTATTTTTATGTTCAAATTCACATACAATTTCAACAGATGTATCAAAATGAGTTGCCTCAGCCCAATCCAAACATTCCTAATTGGGCTATACATTTTAGCCCAATTCACCATTTAAATGGCCTTTAAAGTTTTAAATGAAGAAAATTTTCATATATAATTAACATATATAAGACTATTTATTAGTAGTTATGACATTATTATTTATATCTTTAAGTTTTAATCGTAAAAAAATTATCAGAGAAAATATCACAAATTTCACTAATTTAGGACGTAATTAAGTTTGTCTTTATTCGCTGCTTCTGCTCGTCATGTAGGCGCTTTATGCTCTGCTCTTCTAGTTAAAGTCAAGCTCCGGGTTCAGGATTTATATTTTTTGAAATTATAGTTGGTATGAATATTTGTGTAATCATATAGATTTTACATGTTATTTGATTATTGCATAATTTGCATTTTTATTCCTATTGTTAAGACTCGATGTGTTTAATTCAAACATAATTTAGTTTAAATATTCAAATAGAATATCTAAACAAGTTTAAAATATTACCATGTATATATTAAGTCAAAAGAAATAAATTATATTATTTTAATAATAATTAATTATGATTTGATATATATATAAAATAATTATTACGTGTTACGCCTTTATCTCTCACATGAAACTATGACAAGTCACATGTACTTTGAATAATTTTTTTTATAAACGTGCATCTAAGTTGTGAATTAAGTAATATCATGAAGTAGCATGTTCATTTATATTATCAAAATATATCAATTATATGCAAATTGAAAAAAAATAAAATATTATAAGTATATTCAACTTATAAGGTCTATAAATAACACCATCTCAAAAGCATAAAATCACTTGCATAAAAAGTTCTTCAAAATTATCATGGCATTGTTTAAGATGAGTTTCATTTTTGCTGTCCTTCTCATAGTAACTACAGGTTAGTATTTATCTCATCTTTTAACTTTATGTTATATCATTAATACATATTTTGATGTGAATATTTACATTTTTTTTCAGTTAATATGGAGTGGTTTTTGAAAACGAAACATGTTATGGCTATACGAAACATTGATCGTGAACTTTCAGGTCTTGAGGAAAATTTAGTTCCACAAGATGATTTTGCGACATGTATTAGATCTTGTACAGATAATAGTGATTGTGATAGTGGTTGGAAATGTCGTATTTGCAATCTTCCCACGGATGCCCCACGTCCATTCAAGTGGGACGCCCCAGGGGGACTTAAGAGATGTAGAAGAGGCTAAAAGTACATTGGTGATCAATAATAATAACATATCTGATATTATTTTTACGAGATAGAGATGAAGAAGGATACAATATACGCGAATCTTACTTTTAGCTCCAGATGTGGAGAGGTTGATTGTGGCCAATTATATTACTTCGAATCCAAATTAATGTGCATTTGTACTTTTGTGTTGTTTTTCTAATTAGTCTTTTACTTTGTCAGAAAATATAAAAATATAAAAATAGTCAATAGAATAACTATCAGACTGTTATTTAGTTGTTTTTGAAACTTTTTTTTTTTGGTGATTCGAATTAATGACCTTCGACATTAAAGTAAAGAATGTTTATCATCTCAAATATTCTTGCTAAAATTTTGAAGTGTTTGTTATAAATTTATCAGATTAATTTTTTGTGATATATTACTCATGTAATATATGTAATAAAAATGCTTTCTAGCTTAATGTTGATTAACTAATTTGTAGCCTGTTGAAATATACATGATATAAAATTGAAGTATTGAACAGTAATATTACTAGAGATTCAATGAAAAAATTTAAATTAATAACTAATTTATTGCAATTTTTGGCACATTATGGAAATTGTATAATTCTTTTATATTGAAATTACTCTAATTTCACAACAAAATAAAAAAATCTGATAAAATAATACAACATATGGGGCTTTGATTTCACACTGTAAGGCCAAGTAGTTTATGAAGAATTGCCTGCAAAATGAGCATACACTAATTAGTATTGGAACTCAATGTTTAAATAAACACTGAGTTTTGAAGTTAGTTTTTGTACATATTTAGTCGATTTCTTAGTATAAATTAGAAGAGAAATATTAAAGACACCCCTAAACTCCGAGCAAATTATTAGTTTCATCTTCAAACTATTGACAGTCTTAAAAATACCCCTTAACTTGACCAACTTAACTTAAACACACCCCGATCTTGCAACACGAGTGAAATACACTCCAACATTCTTGTCAGGTGTTTTCAACACTTCTCTTGGTTTTTTATTAAGAACTCAATCCTCTGTTTAAGACTATTTGCTATGTCATGTGGCAGATCGGAGTGTATCGAAATTTAGTTAGTCAAGTCGAGGGGTGTTTTTAAGTCGTCAATAGTTTAAGAAAGAAACTAATAATTTGTGTCAAGTTCAACCAAATAGGTACGTAGTCTTGAACCAATAGATCTTTTTATGCATATGCAATAAAAGTTGAAAAGATTCATGCAACACTAGATAATTTCTCTGCTTGCTTATACTGACTGACTGAAAAGTGTGCTTATTGCTATCAACAACACAGACAGCGTAATTCCATAACTGGGATTTACGGAGGGTAAATATACATAGACTCCACCCCTACCTTTGTGGGATAAGAGGTTGTTTCCGATAGACCCAGGTTGTGTCTATTACTATCAGTTATCATGATATAGATATCCACAACCACCCCAGAATATTTCAGATTAAAAGAATATAAATGTTCCTGAAAGTAACTTACTGGACAGGAACGGTATGCTTTCAGTCCCTGATGTAATTCATGTGATGAGATCAAAAGCTTCACCGGACGAAACTCAAGAGATTGGCTGTGCCCTCTGTTGTCAACCAAGGAGATCAATTGGCGTTGTAAAAGATGTTCAAATGCCTGAAAGAACAGTAAATATTTGTCAGTATACCTTTAAAGATCCAAAGTTAGATGCTAGATGGATAATTTGCATTTAAGTGTCATACACACCCGGAGGCATACATTCCGTGCATAATAGTCTGATGTTTGGAACGAATTATGTACGTCTTTGTACTCTGAAAGGCAGGATAGCATGGTCAGTCACACAGGATTCACATTATTAACATAAGAAGGGATCATGTAGCAGTCAAACCTTTCATTACTGAATTGAAGTTAGTAGTCTCTTGCTCTTTGCCTTCCAACCTCCTCAAGCAGACAAGTATATATAGCTCTAAAATGGTGCAATCTGCATCAACAATTTAAAATCATGTGGTTTTCAATTTGATTCATCTCGGTGGTGGCCTAGGTGTGCAGAATAGAACATCTTTTTGAGTGCCTCACACCGTATATAAAATGGTTTGTGAGTGACTCACACCATGTCTCCAAATATCTCCAGTCAGTTGGGGTTTAAGTGTAAATAAAGTGCTGGTTTTAGTGAAGAAAGGCGTAAATGCAGAACAAATACAAATATGCTGTGTAGCCCAAGACTAAATCATAAGCATGACTAACAAATACATGGCCAAAGAAATTGAACAATTACGATAAAGTGAAATATCAATTGTTTAGTGTCGCCATTTCAGGATTATGCTCATTGAAAGGAGCAGTATGCATTAGAGTGGCAGTGCCTGCTAAGCAAGATGAAATGCTCAGACATGTTTTGCGCCTCATCTCAGGGCTAAGGCATGCCTTGAGTGCCTTTGACAACAGTGGTCACAATGTCTAAGACTACTGTGTTAAAAAAGAGAAGAGAGAGGATATGGAAATAGCTGAAAAAGCTAGTCAACAAATCATAGCTCTACCCATAAAATTTTCCAGAAGCTAGTCAACAAGGAATACAAAATGTCATACCTTGCAAGGCTTCCAACTTGGGTTGCCGTTGAATACTTGATAGGGATGTTTTAAAGTTATCAAGTGACAAAAATCCAGATTTTGTATCCATATGGCTCACAGACGCAAACCTAATGGAAATTACCATATCATGAGTTCTATTTTATTTTAAACCGAACAGATGTTGGATACAACTACTGTGAATGCATCAATTTGGTAGTTCAAGGATAGGTAGACTTACAGAAATCTCAATAGATGGTTAAAGGTTGCATCAAAATTGCATAATGAATCAATGATGTCTTTGAATTTGTCATCCGACAAAGTATTCTAATAAATGTTAAGGATAAACTGATGTTTGCAAGCAAAAAAATGAGCACAATTCGTCAAATCATTGGAACTTTGATGTTTGTTTTGTTGTCTAACCAAAAGGAGAGGTTTCCAGAAGAAAACAAACTATTTTAAACCTTGGTTGACAAGAGAAAGACAAGTACTTGGAGACCCTCATTTAGGCCTAGCACAAATGAGTAGTTACCACTTACCACTGTCATAAAGGATACTCCATACCTTTTTTTAAAAAATAATTGTGGTGTCTGGGGCCAACTTTAGCACACCTCGACTAATTCCATGGCTACCTGCTAGGCGGCTACCTCCCACCAACACAAGTACTAGATAACTATATCCACCAAGACTTAGACATACAGGAAAAAATTACCCAGTGTTTTTGCCTCCGCTCGAATTAGAACCTGCTTCATTGACCATTACTTAATTGAGTCTTTCTGAGCCTCACTCTAATTATTCTTGTATATTCCTCTGTCACTCTCTTTACAACTTTTGTGGTCTTCTGGGATCATGTCACTTATATTCGTTCATTGACAATGAAAAGAGTAATGAGAGAAAAGGATACAAGAAGCTTTTTGTTATAAGCAGCCACGTATTGAGGAGAAAGGCTTGATTCTGTTGGCAGTAGTAAAGCATGCTGCAAAATTCTGATATACAGATTGTAAATAAAGATAATTCATGCAGGCAGTAAATCAGGAACCAAGGATGCAATGAGAAGTTACTTTTGCAAGTCTTCCTGTGAAGGGGGTAGGAACAACAGCTTTCTATGCGAGAAACGAGACCTTACTCTCTTCTCTAAGAGTTGATCAGCATCCTGCACAACACAATTTAAGATTCTCCAATGTGTCTAACTATATGTAGTCAATGTGTATTAATGATGAGGCAACTGTCTCAGAAATTTAGGGAATCTCCTGAAGTTAATCTTGTTCACCAGCAACTCAAACGAGATACTCAATTAAGAAAATGAAATATTAAGGAACATACCAATCTGCAACTCACACCAACGACAACAGCTTGCGAAGTTACAGACTGCATTGCATCTAGCAAGCTATAGAGTAATCGTTGTTTACCCTGCATAATGCAGATACATCAAATCCTGAAAACTTGACATATTTTCTTCATATATGAGAATCTCACCTGGGTAAAAAGGTCAAATTCATCCAACACAAAGATAATTGTTTTATGTGCCAATCCACACTCCCTGATGAGAAGTTTCAGTATAATGAGCACATGCACTGGGAGAAGAAAAAACAAGTAATAAATGTTCTCTATGAAGATCATCTAATTTAAACACTCCAGACAATTTAAGGACATTACAAGACATATACACTCACCTTAACATGGCTATCACAAACTGGGAGTTATCATCAAATGATGCCTGTTATAGAAAATGCATGAGGACTGTTTGATGCCTTTGGTTAAAATGTGAAATGGAAATCATAACCAGAATAAACACAGTACCATCTTTGAGAAAACCAATTGATTTTCTATACATAATTGCCTTGCAATTTCCTACAAGATAAAATAACTATATCAAACAAAGGATACAGAGATCAAGGACAACATTATGGACAAATACCTAACAAGAACAAATAATAGTAACACCCTTTGTTCGAAGAGGCACATATTTTAAATTTTCCAAGAAGATAAAATAGTTAAACCAAAACTAGAAAAAGATGCAGGTGAAACTGGTATCAAGTGCACTTATATTTAAAGATTTTGACAATGTTAACGAAATTTGCTGGGAATAACCTAAATATTCTATTGGAAATTGAACTCTTGCTTAATCAAGTTCCAGTTATCAATCTGTAAGAAAAGCAAAGGAAGTGATAATTTAAGCACAAACATTTCAATTGACTATGGTCTCTCTTCTCTTGATGGTTGACTGTTTTAATTGAAACCTTCTAAATAGCTGTCTTATAAACTCTGCCATCTGGCTCAACGATTCTGCTACAACTTTTTTTGTTTTTGACGACAGAAAAATCTGTTTGCGACAACCTATCTTGATTTCAATATTCAGGATTTCACACTACTCTTGTATAGCCTATCTTGATTTCTGAATTTCTGTTTTCTCTATAAATAACTCTACCAGAACAAAGAGCTGTTTCTTCAGAGTCAAAGCAAGTTCAAACACAGATATAAAACTACCAAGTGAAAAATCTATAAATTAATCGACAAAACAAAACAAAAGTATTTCTCTAGTTGATCTCTTTCTTGCTTAGATGGAAACACAAACCATCACTTTTTCCTAATGTCGGATGGTTCAGTTAAAAATCATGAAGTCTTAGCAAAAACCTCTTGAAAGTGGATAAGTATGAATAACATGATACATGAATTAACTGATTGAAACTAGGTAACAACATATCAAAAGGCGTAAATGCTTTAGATATTAAACAGAAGTGCGTTCATACGTAAAAATCGTTTGGTTGGAAACAAGTTATCCCGGAATTAATTATCACCGGATAAGTTACTCCATCATGTATATGTGATAACTTATCCCATCACTAAGGCATAAATGGTGGATAAATAAACCCATGACTGCCTAATACCTCCAACCAAACATAGGAAAAAAATAGTCCTGCATTTTATCCTGAGAATATTATACCTAATACCTCACACCAAATGACTCCTTAGTGAACAGAATTCCAACCTAAAAGAAGGGACATTGTATTCCGTACCTTCAACGCACAATTGTCCTCGCTATGCAATAGTCCATTCAGTTTAATCTGTAATTGACATAGCGTTTACGATTAATAAATTAGTGACATTTATTTTTGTCCAGAAATATGTCACTGCCAAATCATATACTAAATCAATACCACACAGATAGTGTCTGGATATTCTTGCAGTAAATCCTTGATAACCATCTCTAAAATCTGGCATAAACAATATATTACAAATCAATTATCAATCAAGTTGACTTATTTTGCCTACTAATGAAATAAAAAGACAAACATATAAAACTCTAACTGACCGCAACTTTTCCGCAACCACGAGGGCCAAGAAGTAGAGCTGAGTTGTTACATGCTTCAGTTACTGAACTTGACATTATGTACTTCAATTTGCTGGAAAAAAGAACTAAAAGCAATTACACAAAAAGGATCATGAAGAAATTCTCTAAAAATTACCTGGCTATTTGGATTACGATAAAAGGAAAAAAAGAAGGAACAACATTCAATTTGGAGTGGAAAAATAAAGAAAATGAGAGTAAAAATGGGTCTTTTTTTAACCTGTAGTTGCTATTTGAGGAATCAGAGAAAATGCTGAAGATGCTAAACAACAACAACATACCTTGTGTAATCACATAACTGGTGTCTGGGGAGGATAGAGTGTAGAGTGTACATAGACCTTACCTTACTTCAAAGAGACAGGAAGGTTGTTTCTAATAGTAGTCTCGGTCCACAGTGGAAGGCTCCGCACCTGAGCCTCATCAGACTCAGCTGAAGTGTAAGGTGTAAATGAAGATGAAGTCCGTCCCTTAGCCTAATCTATATCCACAGCTGATGCAACTCCATACAAACGCCTTACTACTACTTCCGTTTTTCAATTATTAAACAGCTAATCAATTTCATAACCTGACCTTTCCTTAACCAGCTAACCTTACTAAGTAGCTTCACCTCCCTTTTATAATTTTCTTGTTCGACTAAGTGATGTCCTAACCTCAACCTACTTTTTGCTTACTCTAGTAGCATAGGCCTTACCATCAGCTTACCTAAAGCATGCCATACAATTTGAGATTGGGGACACAATTATGGGAGCGATAACAACAACGAAATAATGCGAAATGGAAAGCATTACACAATAGAAAAAAGAAAGAACACTAACAACAACGAAATAATACAATAATCAAAGCACAAAAAACTGACAGCCGAAATTGATGAACAAGAAACTATAAGAACAGTACTAATCACCAAGCCTATCCTGCATACTCAACTATCAACTAAAAACTTCATCCTAATCCACGACCTCCAAATTCTTCTATCTATGTTCATGTACTCCATAAGTACAAGATGTTTCATCTACTGTCTAATCACTTTCACCAATACTTATTCGACCTACCTATACCTTAACTGACACCAAAAACTACTTTGTCCATGTGGGTTTACAAAAACATGAAACAACATTCAATTTTGAAGAGAATCTTTGAAAAATGAGGATAAAAATAGGAGCTTTTTCTTCTTACCTGTAATTGCTATCTGGGGAATCAGAAAAAATGGTGTAAATAAAATTGGGATTACAAAGCCTTGTTCTGAGCAGAATCTGAGCTTGTTCTGCTGGATTCTCGACACCCATATTTGCTATCACAGAGGGAATTTTGGGAGAGAAAAATGGCGGAGGAGAAAATTTTGGCGGGAAAAAAGTGAATTGTGAGAGTGAAGGATCATTTTGTGCTGTGGCAAGAGATGCCCCTTGGATTGGGCCTGGGCCTGGGCCTGTTTTGAGAAGAGAAGGCCTGCTACTCAAAAAGAGGTTTTGGGCTGATTTAGCAAAAAATTTCACTGCTTTCCTTGATCTTTTATAGGGAACCTTTCACGTATAGCCACTAAAAAATAGTTTAATTACTCTTCATAGCTATAGTTTGATGATTATAATTCGTAACTATATTTTATATGGAGGATAGAGGAGATCGAGATAAGAAGAGAGATGATAGAGGCAAGAGAGAGAGAAAAAAGTGGGAGAGAGATGAATTGTATATGTATATTTGTTAGAAATTGTATATTATACATATGTATTTGTATAAATGGCAAGCGAGATTGGGAGAGAGAGGAGAGAGGCAAGTATATTGGGAGAGGGAGGAGAGAGGCAAACGAGAGAGGGCAGAGAGTGAGAGAGAGGTGAATTGTGTGTGTGTGTGTATATATATATATATATATTCATTAGGCAATTGTATATTACACATGTGCATTTGTATAAAAAGCAAGCGAGATTGGGAGAAAGAGGAAAAGGATAGCCAGATACAGAGTAATGGAGAGTGATGAATGAATTGAATGCATCGACACAACTATATATAAAGAGTAAGAGCATAAACAAACGTGAGTTAGACAAGCCCTTTTAGCGTAACAAAAAAAACTTAAATAAAGTGTGTGCTTTGAGAGAGCTTGGTGGTCTTGAAAAATGGTTTGAGTAGGGAATTCTCTTAAGAATAAAGATTTCGAATAGAGTCTAATTCATGTTCATGTTAACAGAAGAGCAGATTCAATACCAAGATGCTTGAGAGAAAGGGCTAGCCTTGTATATACACTAATATTGTTTATGTCAGAGGTGTCCAAAGCTAGAAGCAAGAGAGGCGAGCGAGAGAAGGCAGAAAGTGTGAGAGAGGTGACTGTATATGAATATTGATTAGATAATTGTATAATATACATATGTATTTGTATATTCTAAAATTATACATAAACAAATATGACTAATTATACAAACTCAAAGTCAGTCCACATAATTAATGTATAATGTTAGTTGTGAGTGATAACTATAGCAAACTATAACTATGATGAGTAATTACGTAGTATAAGTTTGCTTAACCGCAAATTTTTTCCACCATTTATTGCGATAATACTTGTTTAAATAAATGATTTTTTGTGAATTATAAAATATTAGATCACCATCTAGAGATTATTTTGAGAAAACTAAAAGTATCTTGAAAACCGTTAGACAATAGATTATAATTTTATAAGTTATTGCAAATATTAGATGATAGTCAGAATTTGAGTGCATCTCGTATTGCATAACTACCTATTACCTTATTTTACGATTTAAATAACTCTCTATATAAGTCATATTTTCAGAATTGGGGGACGAGACATGTTACGCAATGAAACCTACTATATATTTGAGGGGCGTCGATCATATCCTCTCGATAAAAAATTATACTATGTAATTAGGTGACAATATTTTTATGTGTATATATTATGTATTGATACTTCTTGAGTTTTACACGATTTTAGTTCTTCATATTTTAACAATCCTTGATCGAAATTCTGAATCCACTAATATTGTTATAACTATACGACTTCAACCAAATACTTCCTTGTCTTGCTTAAATCCAACCACAATTAATCTCTCTCACCATTTCCGTGGACATCTAGACCCTCTCATCTTCTTTTTCACATATTCGAATCATCTCCAATCTCATTCATTTTTTATTTTATACCAAAGAATATGTGAACATTATTTTTCTTCAAATTAAAATACTATGCAATTTATTAGCAAAGACTTTAGTTTATTTACATTTTTAGGTTACACCAGGTTCTGAAGATATTTTTTGGCAAAGACCAGTGAGGACCAATCATCCCTTCAACGCCAAATTCAGACAACAAAACCAAATCAAAGAGGAAAAGAACCCAAAAAACAGAAAGAAAAGAGATGGGAAGTTCAAGTGCTCTCATCTCAAATCTTCACCTGACTCAAACTAACTGTTTCAAATGCTTGAATTCAAGAACTTCTCTGAATATCAACCCCACAAGGCCAAAATTGAATCTTTCTAGCAGAAAATGCATCAAAAAGTTCAGCAGACTTGTTTGTTCTGCTGTTGAAGATTCCATGGAGAAACAGAGAGAAATTAGTGGAGCAAATGCTAGCAGTCTTGGTTCAGCTGTTGAAGATAGACCTGGTAAGATTTAAACACAAAAGAGAAATACCCAAATGATTATTGTGTAAAAGATTGAGCTTTTAATGGTTTTCTGATATGGGAGTTTTGTATAAAGGTGTAGCAGTTGACTGGGTTGTTCCATTAGCTATTTATGGATCTTTATTGCTGGTTTTCTTGAGTTTCTGATATGGGTGTTTTGCATAAAGGTGTAATAGTTTATTTGATTGGTTCTTTAGCTAATTATGTTTCTTTATTTTGCTGAAAGTGTTTTGAATGGGTTTGTTTTATGATTTATTATGTAAAAGATTGAGCTTTTAATGGTCTTCTTGAGTTTTCTGATATGGATAGTTTGTATAAAGGTGTGATGTTTAACTAGATTGGTCCTTTAGCTAATTATGTTTCTTCATTAGCTGCAAATGTTCTGAAAGGGCTTGTTTTTCTGTTGTCATATCTAATTATTCTTATGTATCATAGAAATGATTGCTCTGATTGGTAAGACTATCAAATGGAGATCTAGGGAAGATTTGGGTTTTGGGGTATTTTGAGCAAGAGTCATTTAATAATTATGGCTATTAAACTTCAGACTTGTTATCCTTCCTATAACTTCACTAGTTATCTGTTGTTGTTGGTTGTCACTTGTTTGTTCTTTCATCTAAGTTTAAGGTTTGTGTTTGAAAAGAAATTGCTCCCCTTGTCCCAAGTCAATAATGTGAGTATGCATATCTTTTTCTATGAAAATGTGAGAAAATGCACACGTTCTTCACTTTTTAGTCATTTTATATAAACACTTTTTTTGAAATTGTTTTGGAGAAGTAAATTTCCCTAATGTAGTACTCCCTCTGTCCCAATTTGCGCGACACCCTTTCCTTTTTGGTCTGGCCCTAAAAGAATGCACCTTTTTATAATTTGAAACAACTTAACTTTAAAATTGCCTTTACCCTTACTAAAATGATTTATAGCCACATATGAAGATTGAAGCCTATTAGCTCTGTATTATTTTTGGTGTAAACAAGTAGTCTTAAATAGCTCAGAAGTAATCAGCACAACTATAGACTGGCTGTAACTTGGTCATTATAGGATGCTATGTAATTACAACACTTTTGGAGGGGAACTACACTTTTGAGGTAGTATACCTGTGGATAAATATAGACTAACTGTTACTTTTCTCAAAAATAAAAAATGATTTATAGCCACACAGATGTCTAAGGTTTATTTTAGATCACAAGCTGCAAAAGTCTTCCTTTTATTCTTAAACTATGCGCCAATCTAATGGTTCACATGAGTTGGGATGCAGGGAATATATGTATATATGTTTGTTAACGCATTTTGGCAAGAGCAAATTGTTATGCCGTGCCAAAGTGAGAGTGTTACACAGGGGGAGAACTAATTGAACTGTCTAATATCTGCTGGAAATGACTACCCATTCTGCTTTTAAGGAAAGAATGTGCACAAAATGTTAGTTTACTAGTTCCCTTTCTTATACATACTCTGCTTATTTTGTGGGCGTACAGTTGTCTGAGCACTATTCAACACTTGTATGATGCAAGTCTCCAGAACAGTACCTTTATTATACATAAAATTGTTCTTTTTTTATCCTCTTTCTCAGTGTGCATATTGGTAATTGTCCATGACAGCAAAAAAAAATCATGCATTTAGATTGTAATAATGCATTTGTTTTTGAAATCCAGATGTCGGTGATGGCTCAAGCAAGAGTTTATTTAAGAACGGTGGATCAGATAGTGAAGGGAATGTTGTTTATGATTTCCTTTACCCTAATAAAGAGCTGCTACCAGATGATAAAGAAATGACTCTATTTGATCATTTGGAGGAGTTGCGCCAGAGACTCTTTGTGTCTGTTTTGGCCGTTGGTGCTGCTATAGTGGGATGTTTTGCCTTCTCAAAAGAACTTATCTTGATTCTTGAAGCCCCTGTTCTAGCACAAGGTGTTCGATTTTTGCAACTAGGTCCAGGAGAGTTCTTTTTCACTACTTTAAAAGTAAGAATGCATCTTTAATTAAATCTCCTTTGCCACTCATTTCCTTAACCATTTGACCACAATAACCTTTTTCCGTGAACTAGTTAGATATATCTCATGTTCAAGTCCTTTTTAAGGATTAAAAGTTGTTCGCTGTGCCTGATATCTGGCTTGTATGCTGAAATATCAAATATGTACTTCCTTTTGATTGAATGTCATAATTTCTGTTCGGAATATTTATAATGAGTATCTTACCCCTTATAGTTTGTAAAATTTCAACTGCTCTCTTTTAACACATCTTGATTTCTAAAGAAACCTACAAGTAATCTATCCACGTACATTAAACTAATCCTCACTTAAAGTGCATGCTATTGTAATGTCAATATACTTATCTTCAAAATCATGTATGAGTCAAACTGTTTATTACATATAAATGCAAGTAGTAGTTAATGTACCTATACATAGATGCGGGTGTTCAGATAGCGCATGCTGAATATGTCTAAAAAATGGAAGTTATGTAACACAGTGTTTTGCTATTTTTGGTATCGGAAAGTTGGGACCAGTTGGCATACTTTTTTTTTTGAGACAGTAACAACTTGTATTCTATTCCAAAAC